GGCAAATTTTTGAAAAAAAAATAAAAAGTAAGCAGAAAAGAATATAAATTCTTAACTGACAAATGTTTCACTGGAAGAGATACTGACATAAAGCTGTTTTGAAAGACGTTAAAGAAGAAAGACAAATAACTGACTCTGGGAGATTATTTCAGTTAGCAATAGTTGAATGAAAAAAAGAAGAATGTACCGTTTGCGGAGAATAACCATCAACAGAAGATGGAATGCGAACATATTTCGAACGATGAAGACGTAAAGATGAGTAGTGAGGACGATGAATAGTATAAAAAAGGGAAACAGGACTTAGACGATGATAAGTTTCGAAAAACTGTAGAAGTCTAAAGTATTTACGACGAAGAGTGAGATTTAGAAGAGAAAGTTGAGACTCAAGTAGAGAACTAGAAGAACGTCAGTCAGAATTGTGAGAAATAACACGAGAAGCAAGTTTGTTTACAGAATCAAGAACAGTAAGAGAAAACGAACTGTCATACAAGGCACAGCAATAGTCAACTTAAGGAAGAATAGAAGAAAGATAGATTCGACGTCGAACTTCAGTTGGAGCTAATCCAAAGACACACAAGATTCAATGCTCCAAGCTTGCGCCGACAAGCAAGAGCAATTCCCCTGGTTAGATGTAGATCGTTAATAAAAATAAGAAATAAAAGAGGCCCAAGTACACTGTCTTGGGGAACACCAGAAGGAACAGGAGAAGAAGAAGTGCGGAATCATTCACACGCATACACTGAGAACGGTTCGAAAGATAAGAAGATAGAAGAGACAACAAAGAATCACACATACCACAACGAGAAAGTTTTTCTAACAAGAGAGAATGAGGAACAGAGTCAAATGCTTTAGAAAAATCAAAAGATACACCAACACAATTTACATCAGTATTCCAAAAGTTAAAGACGGTTGAAGATAAAAACAACAAAGCATCCAGAGTAGAATGTTTAGGACGAAAGCCGAACTGTTTGTTTAGAGAGGTGAGAAGAAATAAAATTATAAATTAGACGTTTAAAAACTTTAGAAACAACAGGAAGAAGTGGAATAGGGCGATAATTAGAAATATCAGCAAGAGCGCCTTTTGTATGAATAGGTACAATGAAGGCAGTCTTCCATAAAGTTGAAAAATTGCTAGTAGAAAGACACAGATGAAAAATGAAGTGAAGGTGAGGTGAGAGAATGTCAGCACAAGAAGAGAGGAAGGAAGAAGGAATTCCATCAATACCAATAGTAGACTTTTTATCCAATTTCTGAAGTAAACGCTCAACATCCCGTATGGAAAAGTCGTGGTGTTTATCCATCGTTGGCAAGTCTAGAGTGGTAGAGGGAGAAATTTGTCCCTGAAGAGAAGAATAACAAGAGGAAAAATGAGAATTGAAATGTTCAGCTTTATCCGCATCTGTGGAAACAGATTTGGAGCCTAGAAACAAAGACTAAGGTAAAGTGGAGTGAGAAGAGGATAGTTTCTTGATAGAGCTCCAAAACTTGCAAGGGTCAGAAAATAAGGAAGAGAGAGAGAGATCGGAAGTAAGATTTTTCACGTCGATAGAGAGAAAGGACAAGATTTCTTGCTTTACGGAACTCAGCAAGGTGAAGAGAAGTATAATAGCGTTTAAGTTTACGAAAACGCTGTTTACAGATAGAAATAAGATGTGCAAGCTTTAGAGAAGGCGAGAGAAGATAGAGTACGAACTGGCACGAGTGAGACGATTCTATCTATTTATCACATTATCTATTAAATCGCACTAACTTTTATGGATACTTTAGACATGGTTCATCAATTCGCAAAATGTCTCTTTTGGACAACACAGATCGAAAAACATCATTACTTTAACTTGACTGGACTTTGAACCCAATTACTCCGTTAAGATAATCATAACTCGTCATCAGTACATAGATCCAAAATTAGTACTATGTTAAGATTCGAAGAAAATGACAAATTGACCAATCAGATATAAACGAAGTTATCATGTTTGAATAAAAAAAAATGATGCCGTATAAGTGCGTTCTCTATTTCCGTAATCTGAAATTTTTTTTTCTAACGGAAAGGATAATTATAGACAATTAAAATAGAATTTTCACTTTTTTTAACACTAATGCTCTTTTAATATTTTTCAAAATTAAATCATATACAGAATAGACTACTGAAGACTCCAACTTCAATGAGCCTAAATGAGTCATAACGTGATGTCAGGAGAATACGGTAGTAGTATAGTATTGCTATCGGATAAGATATTGAGCAATCATATTTATCTTTACTATCGTAGCTAACCCGCAAGTTTTTGCAAAGTGATTTTTCAAGTTTTTTCTTTGACACATAATAACAAACGTGTAATTCTTGTTTTTTTCTGTAATTTTCGAAACCATTCTTAATTTTCAAGTACTCCTTGTATCAGAATGGATGATACCATACAAGAACAAAATTCTCAACCCATTCAAATTTCGTCGCCAATGTTTATAACACCCATTATACCGCAACAAGAACTCGTCACATCATCTTTGCCTGTCCCTGATTCTAGTGAACCGAATCATAAAAATCAGTTGTCTACAGAAGAAACTGTAGAATCATCATCAAGTTTTAAAATACCTCTCTTACCTGTGAATATCGAGTCTTCAACAGTTAGTTCTGCGGCACCATTAACTCCGTATAGAAATATACAATATGAAGAGCCACGCTCATCAGGTTTGCCATCTGATGAGTATGCTCTAGAGGTATTACGCAACGGCACTATTATCGATCATCAATCTTTATCGAAGCGTCCTTATACTGTGTTTGGTCGGTCACCAGACAGTGATGTTTTGTTAGAACATCCAACAATCAGTCGCTATCATGCTATCATCCAGTATAAATCTGAGTACGAACATGGTCAAGTATCGGGACTTTATCTTTACGACTTAAATTCGACGCATGGCACGTTTGTTAACAAGAAGAGAATTCAGCCAAGAATTTATACACGATTGAAAGCGGGCTACGTTATTAAATTTGGACAGTCAACAAGAATATATGTTTTACAAGGGCCATCGTCGGATGTTGATAACGAGGATGATTTAACTCATGAACAAATGAAACATTATCATGCTAAACGTGCTAAATTATTATCAATTGTGAGAGCAAAACGTGATCAAATGAAAGATATAACAGATGATAGTAGTCATGAAGTTGATTGGGGTATTACAGATGACGACGAAATATTAGCAATGGAACAAGAACAAAAACAACAACAACAACAACAACAACAACAACAACAGCAGAATGATGAAGAAAAGAAGAAAACCACAAATTCACCAGTCAAATCAAAACCGCTGAGTCAAGAAGCAGCGGGTGATAGTGCGGTATTGAAAGAAATCATTTCTAAAGTAAGTAGTACTCTGATGATAACCTGTCTTTTCAAAGGACAATACACACACGAGTCGAACAGCTCACGTGATTTATACTCCTAGGCAGAGGTGCAGAATCTACCTGTAAGAATCAAAACCTTCCCTCAATGGGACGGACAATTTCTAAAAACTTCCTACTAGTATCAAAATATTTTCTGCTGTACTTATTTTTCCGCAAAAATTCTATTTTTCTAAAGTTCTTCTGAAAATTTCCATGAATAAGAAAATGTTTCCTCGACGGACGTCGGAGCAGACCGATATATTACGCATCTGTGCTCCTAGGTAACACTTATTCAATACTAAAAGTTGAATGACCGCTTGAAGTGCATTGGAATCTATTAGTGGCGAGTTAAGCAGTCATGTATAAACCAAAATATATAGCACGTCCATTTATCAATATCAGATCTATCTATCAGACTGTAAATGTCGTATGGGAGCAAAAATCGTTATGAAGAGTTCGCGTTTTTCTGACATAATATTGAGTTGTGAAAAACTTTTTTTGCACTACAATCTCGGAGTAGAGATCGCTTATAGCCGAACAGTTCGATGAGCGTAAGAAGACTAAATGCATTTGTAAGTTCAACGAAAGTAAGAATATTTTACCAAAGGATTTTGAATACCTAGTATGTTTGATTATGTGTCGTACTTCTGTCACTCTAGGTGGATGATCCTGAAGACGAAGCGGCGAAAAAGGAGCCGTTTTATTTGAAAGATCCAAAAAAAGCATTACAAGCATTCTTCGATCGTGAAGGATGTGATCTTGTTTATGATGTTGAAGATAGACAATTTGGCTCATATTACTGTACAATTAAATTACCAATTATTGATGAATACGGTCATACAGTAGTTGCTGAATGCGAAGATAAACACTGTAAAAAACGAGAAATAATTAATCGTTGTATATTGGAAGCATGTCAAATTTTGGATGAATATGGAGTTCTACGAGAAGGCACGGCCGTACTTACTCAAAAGCACCAGCAGCTGAAACGACAATTGTTGGAAGAAAATGATTTTTATGAGGACGAAGAAGATTCGTTTTTTGACAGAACAGGTAAAAATAATTTTGTTCCAGTATGTATGTCTTCAGTAAAAATTATGTTTTACGTTCAGGTGAATTGGAAAAGAAAAGGATAAAACGAATGCAACGCCTTGGTAATGTTCCTGAACAAGTAGAAACATTTGATAGTTTAAGAGAGAAATTAAGAAATTTATACAGAGAACAAAGAAAAATACAGCAGCAATTAGATAAAGGAAAACAAAAAAGTGATAATCGAGCGGCAGCATCAACAGACAAAGAAACCGATGAATTAGATCAGTATATCAAACAATTAAAACAGGGTGAAACAATCAACATGAGATTGAAGTGGCAATTGAGAAAAAGACTATTAGAATTAGAACAAGATGAAAAAAAGTTTGAAAGATTGTTGAAAATATGTAAACCAGCTGATTTCAATTTTCAAATATGGAAACAAGATATACTGGATGCAACTAAACATGAAGATTCCATTCCCGTTAAAGTAAAGCCAGTTGAACAACAACAACAAATGCAACATATTCCTAATGCACCAACGATCCAGGTATCTGCAGACAAGACTGAAGCTGTCGAAACAATTCCTACGAAACAAAAGCGACCACAACAAAATTTAATCGGTATCAGTGATTCAAAAAAATCTCTACCATCCGAAAATTCATCGCTATCGTCAAAATCGAATAAGAAAAGAAAAGAGTTTGATTCAAAAGATCAAATTGACGATAGTGAGCACTATACAGACTCTAATTATGCCGAGTGGATGCCCCCTTCATCACAGTCGGGCGATGGCACGACTATATTAAACGAAAAATATGGCTACTAACTTGTTTTTGTTCTTTATTGTGCTCGATGTTCAATTTTGTAAATAAACAGTTAAGAGATGCTTTAACATTTCTGAACTCTTGGTTATCAGGAGGCCGCGTACGGTAAATTTCTGTTCGGACTTCTTAAAATGTTTCTTATCTATTTTTGATAGAAAATCAAGAAATTCATATCCAAAATATGCGAATATAGCTTTTTTGGCTCGAAATAATATTCGAAAAGTTAAGTCGGAGTCTATTGTCTGGTAGTGTACTAGCAGCGTCTGAACACAGTACCAACTAAATTCATGGCTCATGTTTCTCAAAAACAACCATGAGACATTGAGGTTGTTATAGTTGAGCGTAGCCAATGTTTTAGTACGAAACCTTCCTTTTTCTTCATCATTTTCAAAGTTTTTAAAAGGAAACACAAACAGAGGTTAAAGCGTTGTACAATGTTTTTAAGTTCACTCAACGTCTAGCAGGTTGAACGAACCAAGATCGATTGGAAATTCGTTTTGTGATTCGTTATATGGTGAACTATAGATATTTTGGTACACCAGGCATTCGATGAAACAAATACTGCAGTATACTGAAATTCGCGCCTCTGCAATCTTCATTCCGCGTATTTAGTTTCTAATTACGACACAAGAGGAAGCTCTGAACCGTTTTTATTCCTTTTCATGGATTTGATAGACAAAAGCCATCAGGATTTATTATTATTCTTTTCGTGGATGCGATCCGTTAGCTGACACAAATACAACAAATATTTACGTACGAAAAATGGGTTGACCAA